GACGAGGTCTGCAACGCAGTGGGGCCGATTTTGCTGGTGTGCGTCGACATTGTAGCTGGTGAGTTTGCCGCAGGCTCTTTGAAGGGCGCAGGTACCGTTGGAGATGACGGTGCTGCCGTCACGAACGACTGAGCGAGGTTGTTCCAGTTGACTGGAAAGGCCAACAGGGCGTCTAGTGAAATCTGTCCGGCTTGGATGGCGCGAACAATTGGATGTGATTCAGTCGACGGGTCCTGCAATGCGGCGAGCGGCGATGACGAGGCAGTTGATTTAGCACCGAAAGTGGGCGACGTGGCGCAGTCCAGAGCGCCAGTGACGGTCGAATCTGATAACGAACCGTTCAAAGTACGAGAGGGGGATAGAGTGCGCTCAGATGCACTCTCTTGGCTCACAAGCTTGACGTCCTTGACCTCTGTCTCAACTTCGATCGGCTCGTACGCAACACTTGACGCGGGTGTCGATGGCTCAGATGCAAGGTCGTGTGTGTCAGTGCTGAGCACGCTAAAGCTGCTACCACTGGGACTGATCGGACCTGATGACCTGCTCGCAGTCGGTCTGTCGTCAGCGGGATGAATGTGTATGTGCATTCCCCTGGGTGAAGATGGCGATGACGACGAAGGGTGGCTGTGATGCAAATGCAATGATCCTGCGCGTTTGTAGGCTGGCGAGCTCGATGACCTGTCAAACAATGGTGATGATGGTGGTCAATGATGAAATGAGGGAGGCGTGCTTGTGTCAGCGAGTGAATTCGTGGAAGAGCGGGATGATAGAGGCACGAGGAACCCTTGAACCCTGTCATGATCAGGCCACGATGCGTCCAATGTCCGGAAGCCAAGACCCTTTGCGCACGCAGTGGCTTGGTGCTCTGCCATCAATGAGTTCCTGGAACCTCGTGATGGTGCAGGCAGGATACGTGCACTCAGTGTGACTGCACCGCTGAACTCGGCTGCGCGCGTAACGCGTCCCGGCGCAGGAAAGCATGCCTGCCGCACGCGCCGCACGGTCAAATTTACTGCGGGGGCTGTGCGGCGCGATCGATCGAGAAAGGCA